TCCAATTAATTACCATCCAGATCTTGTTGACGACCTCAAGGATGGCTTCCCGGTCGTAATAGTATCCACACCCACTCGACCAGATAGAAGACCTATAGTAAAGAGTAACGTTGATGAAGATGGACCATCATATTCCTAACACAAAAGTAATGTTATGCCTGTGCGAGATAGATCTTATTTTTGTGTGCCAAGAGATAGTGAGATACAACAACCTCCCAATACTCATTCAAACGACACTTCGCCCTGCAACAATAGCAAAGTTAGCTCCATATGATACAGATGGATATTGTGCAATATGTATTTCAGACCATATATTTATCAGAGACAAAGGAAAAAAAAACTAGCGTCACATAGAAACCCAAATATGAATAGCTCAGTGGAATTGATTATAGCAAATAAACTAAGTATACTCCAGATAACAAGTATTCAGGTGATTAAAGCCTATTATAAATCGTATTGAAAGAGCAACCCATCATACAAAAATTGCTGAAATACAAATATATTGGCATATATGTGGCAAACCTGATATATATACATTCCATAACAGAAAGTACAACACTGCTTCAATTGATTAAAGGTTAACAATAATTTCCCAAGACAAATGTTTACTACACTGCTTCAAATGTGTTAGCAGTTCAGTTAATATAACATAGTTAATTATATGTTTGCCATATTTATTGTGTTTTATTTGGGCATGGCATAGTTAGATTCCATCCCATTTTTATGGTCCTCTATGGTTTTGGCCTGCTATTTCCTGAGTATTAAATAATTGCATGCCGAGTCAATTTTAAATGAAGAAGTGCTACGATGTACTAAATAATATGTTTCACAAGTCACAAATTTGATGAACAATTTTGAATCATTAAAAAATGAAAACTAAAATATTCTAAAAGGTATTAGATTTTTCTTATTGGCTCTGAATTGACTATTCGTATGAATGAATAGACCAGACGACTAGAGCCTACTGAAAACCCATTGCTGAGCTGGAAGTTGGAAGCATATCACCTGCCAGGACAAGAACATAAGGTGCGCTAGCTGTCCCATCCTGGCATATTACATCAATAATACTTCCGACAAGAATTCAAATGTTCAGTAGCGAAAAAGAGGCCTTTATATTATTACATTAACACTTCCCACAAGAAATCAAATGTCTAGTAGTACTAGTATTGATGTTTCAGTAGCGAAGAGGAGGCCTTTGAACTGGTCGTGGAAGTGCTAGCGTCGGAGGAAGTAGTGGTACTGGAGTTGGACGACAAGTCCGCCAGGGCGAACGGGGGAGACGCATACATGGGTACCGGCATCTTGGAGGGGAGCACCGGCAGCTGACTGCAGGCTCCGTGGACCTTGGAGTTGGACTGGAGCGCCCCAATGGCGGTCCTGATGGACGGTCGCGCGCTCGGGTCCGGATGTGCGCACCACAGCCCGACGACCATCACCCTCTCCACCTCTGCTGCGTTGTAGTCACCGTTCAGCCGCTCGTCGACGGCCTCAAGAATGGCTCCTTGGCCATATAGCCCCCAGGCCCACTCGACCAGCCGGAAGACGCCGCCCTTCTTCTGCTTGTCCTGGTCGGCCGAGGTTATGCTCATTGGCCTCCTGCCGCATGCTACCTCCAGTAGAACCACCCCAAAGCTGTACACATCGGACTCGGCGCTGGCCCTACCGGTGCTCACGCACTCGGGATCCAAGTAGCCCGGAGTCCCCGAAATGGCGGTGTAAGACAATAGGCTTTGGGGGAACCGGCACAATCCTCTAGGGGTGGCCTATCACATATATATATATATATAATGAGGTGGTATACAACGTTATAATATACACATGTAAATACAGTCTAACACCCTCCCTCAATCTTAGCCACTTTCTAATGAATCTAGAAGGGTAAGATTGCGCCTGCAAGTCTCAAACTGTGGCAAAGGCAATGGCTTGGTGAAGATGTCAGCAAGTTGATCCTTGGAAGAAATAAACTTGATCTGTAGTTGCTTCTGAGAGACACGTTCACGCACAAAGTGATAGTCAACTTCAATGTGTTTCGTTCGGGCATGGAATACCGGATTTGCAGAAAGGTATGTAGCACCGATGTTATCACACCAAAGAACAGGAGGCTGTGATTGGGGTATACTTAACTCCTGAAGCAAGGACTGTACCCAGATGATCTCTGATGTGGCATTGGCCACAGCCTTATACTCAGCCTCAGTACTGCTACGCGAGACAGTAGCCTGTTTCCGAGCACTCCAGGCAATCAGGTTAGAGCCAAAGAAGACAGCATAACCCCCCGTGGATCGCCTGTCATCCGGATTGCCAGCCCAGTCTGCATCAGAATATGCTGAAAGACAACCAGAGTCAGACGGCCGAATATGCAAACCATGAGCCACCGTGAAACGAATATAGCGCAAAATCCGCTTAACAGCAGACCAATAAGTGTCACAGGGTGACCGCAGATACTGGCAGACTCGGTTAACAGCATAGGAAATGTCTGGTCGCGTGATCGTCAAGTACTGGAGCCCACCAACAATACTCCTGTACTCTGTCGCATCAGAAGAAGAAAGAAGCACACCATCAACAGCATTGAGCTTATCAGTGGTAGACATGGGTGTAGTTGTCGGTTTGCACTTAAGCATCCCAGCTCGCTGCAACAAATCCAGATAGTACTTCTTCTGCGTCATAACAAGGCCAGCAGCACGAGAAGTAACCTCCACACCAAGAAAGTAATGAAGCTTCCCAAGGTCCTTGACCGCAAAATCAGCACCAAGTGAGCGAACAAGCGCAGTAGCAGCCGACTGAGAGGAGCTGACCAAAATGATATCATCTACATAGACCAACAAGTACATAGTAACCTCAGGCCTTTGAAGAAGAAACAATGAGGAGTCAGCAGTTGATGATGCAAAACCATGAGCACGAAGAGCCATTGCAAGACGAGCATGCCAAGCACGAGGAGCCTGCTTCAGACCATAAATTGCCTTGGACAGACGACAGAGATGATCAGGGCGATCCGGATCAGAGAAACCCGGAGGCTGGCGCATGTAAACCTCCTCCGCCAAGACACCATGAAGAAAAGCATTTTGAACATCAAGCTGACGAAGAAACCAACCTCGAGTAACAGCCAGAGAGAGAAGAAGTCTGATGGTAGTAGGCTTGACCACTGGACTGAAGGTGTCTTCATAGTCAAGTCCAAAACGCTGTCGAAAACCACGAGCAACCAGACGAGCCTTATAGCGCTCAATGGACCCATCAGAATGCCTCTTCACTTTGAAAACCCATTTGGAATCAATGACATTTACCCGTGATTGTGGAGGAACAAGAGTCCATGTCTGATTGCGAAGAAGCGCTTGATACTCCTGCTCCATGGCCTCTCTCCAATGAGGAAAGCGCATAGCAGCTTGATACGTGTGTGGCTCAGAGGATGGATCTGCGAGAGCAGCAGACATGCACGCCGCTAACCAAGCAACTGTGCCATCGTGACGTTGCTTAGGCTGAAAAATGCCACTCCGACTGCGCGTATGTGGACGTAGAGCAGCAGCAGGAGCCGGCGGAGGCGAAGGTGACGGAGACGTGACGGTCGCCGGAGATGCAGGAATCACCTCAGGCGAGCTCGGGACAGACGACTCCGAGCTGCATGGCGAAGACTGGCCCGACGACAGGGGCTCAGAGGCCATGGGCGAACCGAGAGTGGGCGAGGCCAGCTCCGGTGACACCGGCCCAGACGGCCTTGGCGAGGCGAGAGCAGGCGAGGCCGGCCCTGATGAGAAGGGCCCAGACACCCTGGGCGAGGCAGGGGCGGGCGAGGCCAGGCCTGGTGATGACTGCCCCGACGCCCTGGGCGAGACGGGGACCGAGGAGGCCGGCCCAGTCGGCGGGGTTGCAGGGCGCGACGATGGCGAAGGCAGCCCAGAAGCCAGAGGCGACCGGGCCAGGACGTCGATCGGCCGTGCATGAGCACGGAAACCGAGGCCATGCAGGGGCGCCATGTGCTCCTCATGCACAACAGAAGGTGCCGAGGATGAAGGCGATGGCGACGAAGAGGAAGATGGCACTTCCAGAATCTCCAAACGAGCCCCACGACCAGTGCCTGCACCATGGTTAGGCAACAATAGAGGAGAATATGCAACATCATCAAATTGGTCAGAAACAACAGAGGATGAATGCATGACAGGTGGCTCAGTAGTGGACACAGGGAGTTTGGCAAAGGGAAAAACATGCTCATCAAACACAACATCCCGAGAGATGTAGACACGATTAGTGGGCACATGAAGACATTTGTATCCTTTATGAAGAGAGCTATAACCAAGAAAAACACACTTCTTGGAACGAAACTCGAGCTTACGCTTGTTATATGGACGGAGATGGGGCCAGCAAGCACACCCAAACACCTTGAGAAAGGTGTAGTCCGGTTGTTCATTAAGGAGAACTTCAATGGGAGTCTTCATATTCAAAACACGAGTGGGAGTACGATTGATGAGAAAACATGCAGTGGTGAAAGCATCACTCCAAAAACGAAACGGAACAGATGCATGGGCCAAAAGAGTCAGACCAGCTTCAACAATGTGACGATGCTTACGTTCTACTGAACCATTCTGCTGATGTGTATGTGGACATGCTAAACGGTGAGTGATCCCAAGCGACTGAAAGAAGGAGTTGAGGTTGCGATACTCGCCACCCCAATCCGACTGAACATGAACAATTTTGTGCTTGAGAAGGCGTTCAACATGTTTTTGGAACTGAACAAAAATGTCAAACACATCAGATTTACGTTTGATAAGATAAAGCCAGGTAAAGCGGCTGTAAGCATCAACAAAACTGATATAGTAATTATGACCACTAACAGAAGTCTGAGCAGGACCCCATACATCTGAAAACACAAGTTCTAAAGGATGTTTCACCTCACGACTGGACTCCGAAAAAGGAAGTTGATGACTCTTCCCCTGCTGACAAGCATCACACACTGCTACATCTTTATTACTAGACACACTAGGAAGCTCATGACGACGCAAAACATGCCGGACAATAGGTGTGGCCGGGTGACCAAGACGAGCATGCCACTGTGACGGAGATACCCGAACTCCACTGAAGACGCGAGCGACGCCAGGATGCTCCAGACGATAGAGACCTTGGCAGAGCCGCCCACTAAGAAGAATGTCCCTCGTGCCCCGATCCTTAATTAAAAGATCAAAAGGATGAAATTCACAAAGCACATTATTATCACGAGTGAGTTTAGGAACTGAAAGAAGATTACGTGTCACAGATGGAACTCGAAGAACATTGCGAAGTTGAAGACTCCTATTGGCATGTCTAGTGAGAAGTGATGCTTGACCAATATGAGAGATGTGCATACCTGCTCCATTGGCGGTGTGGATCTTGTCGGAGCCATGGTAGGGTTCACGAGTGTGAAGCTTCCCCATCTCACTGGTCAGGTGCTCTGTCGCCCTAGAGTCCATGTACCAGTGGGGATCAATGGAGTAGGACTGAGTGTGTCCCTGTGGCTTCTGCGGCGGCGGACGATCAGCCATGGCGACCTGACGAGCAAAGTTGCGTGTATCCTTCCCGTCATTGCCGAGACCAAGAAAACCCCGCTGGAAGCGCTTGTGACACTTCGAGGCCCAGTGCCCATCGCGACCACAAAGCTGGCACACACGTGGACCGCCAGTCCCTGGTAGCGTCGCAGTAGGAGGAGGGGCCGAGGCGGGTGGTGATGACTGCCCCGAAGGAGCCCTGGATGAAGCAGAGGAGCGACCACCCTTGGTGGCGGCGTTTGCCGAGAGGGCGCCGTTGCCCCTGGATCGGCGCGTCTCGACTCGTTGCTCAGTAAGCAGGAGGCGTGAAAAGACCTCGTGTGCTGGCATGGGCGTGGAGTTGCCTCTCTCATTGATGATCTCGACTAGGGCGTCATACTCCTCATCAAGACCATTGACAATAAACGAGTTGAACTCGGAGTCGGTGAGGGGCTGTCCAATGGAGGCCAGCGTGTCGGCGAGACTCTTGACTTTGTTGTAGAACTCAGTGGCGGTGGAGTCAAACTTCTGACACTCCCCAAGTTGGCGACGGAGCCCAGATACACGAGCCTGCGACTGTGCCGCAAACGAGCTCTCAAGAATAGTCCATGCCTCGTGGGACGTCTTGGCGAAGACAACAAGCCCAGCAACGGCCGGAGAGAGCGACCCCTGGATGGAGGAGAGGTTCGCCTGATCCTGCCCTGTCCAGACACGGTGAGCCGGATTATAGACCGGACCGTGCACGCTGTCAACCAGCGCAGGAGGGCAAGGGAGAGAGCCGTCGACATAGCCAAGCAGATAGTGACTCCCAAGAAGCGGAAGAACCTGCGCGCGCCAGAAGATGTAATTGTCCGACGACAACTTGATGATGATGAGATGGCCGAAGTGAAACGGCGGCGGCGGCTGCGATCCCATCGAGGAGACTGGCTGAGGTGAGACCACCGTGGAGACAGTCAGAGGGGCAGCCGGCGCGGTGACAGAGGGCGCGATGGCCGCGGTTGACGCCGCGAAGCCTGCCAGCGCGACGTCCTCCGCCACCAGTGGCGCAGTGGCCGAGGGCGCGACAGCCGCGGTTGATGGGGCGGCGGCGGTGTGGGCCACAAGCGCCTGCCCGGGCGAAGTAGCAGCCGGCGGGAGCGCGAAGAGGGAGCCGACGCTCCGTGTCCCGATCGGCGCCTGAAGGGAGGCGGCATCCAGCGGCCTCGAGAGAAGTGCCGCGAGGGAGGCCGGCAGAAAACCGGTGACGGTGGAGCCGGACGCAGCGGCGGACGTCATAGCAGTCGGGCGACGGCGACGGCGGGCGCGGCGGCGGCGGCGGTGGCGGCGGCGGCGGCGGTTTAGGGTTTTTAGGCGGAAGCGGACGTAACCTAGCGTGATACCATGTAAGACAATAGGCTTTGGGAGGAACCGGCACAACCCTCTAGGGATGGCCTATCACATATATATATAATGAGGTGGTATACAACGTTACAATATATACATGTAAATACAGTCTAACAGGCGGTCATTGTTTGCACCCCAGCGGCATGGTCAACAAGCCTTGCCAGCCCGAAGTCGCCTAACTTGGCTCCAAAGGACTCGTCGAGCATCACGTTGCTGGGCTTAATGTCCCGGTGTAACACACATTGCTCCCATTCCTCATGGAGGTAGAGCAATGCAGACCCAAGCTCCTGCAATATCTTCATCCTAGAGTAGCACTTGCAGTTAACAACTCAACATACATAAAGGTTTACGAGCAAATGGTTGTGTACTCCTGAGAGTATGTACTCCCATTCCTTATATACTACATAGATGAATCTTTTATACCGTGGTACATTACATAAAATACGTACCTCATTGGCCACGTGAGGAAGGTGCCCTGCTTGCTGTGGAGATGGATGTCGAGGCTTCGGTTGGGCATGAGCTCGTAGACCAGCAGGAGCTCCTCACGGTCATGGCACCAGCCGAGGAGCTGCACGAGGTTCCGGTGACGCAGCCTGCTTATCACCTTGATTTCTGACTTGTACTCCCTCTCTCCTTGCATGGAAGACTCCTCATGCTTAGGGTTGGAGAATCTCTTTATGGCCACGGCTAGACCAACTGGCTCTCCTCTCAGATAGCCTCGGTATACGGCGCCGAAGCCACCTTGCCCAAGCTTCTCCTCCGCGGCGAAGTTCCTCGTGGCTTCCACCAACTCCTGGTATGGGAACCGTCTTGGCCCCGTCCCCATCTCTATCTCCGTTATCGGCTTGCCTTCACATTCTAAGTCTGTGTAGTTCTCTTCGGTCTCCATCATGTTCCCACGACGACGGTGGCGCAATACGAGTGTTGCCGCGGCAGCGAAGAGGAGCACAAGTAACATTGTTGTGCCGACGGCTGCTCCGACAATAACTCCAGAACCTGGGCCTCGCTGTGGTGGTGGTGATGGTAGTGATGATGATGGTGGTGGTGATGGTGGGGCCTGTGGTTCCAACGAAGAGTTGAAGAACCAAGAGTGTAACTGATGCACTTCCACAGACGTGGATGTGGATGCGGAGAAGCCAATGGAGACCTGCTCCGGCAGTGCACTCTTGAGGTCAACCTCGGAGCTAAGCCAGTAAATCCTGCCTCTCGGCCGGCCATTTTTATCATCACCGAGCCATACTGTCACATTTAAGATGCTGGAAACGCCATCGTACTCGATCTCGGCGGTCAAGTTGTCCATGAGGTCAAAGCTCTCTAGGGTCAGTGTTTCCACCGATACTAGGGAGTTGACGTCTATGCCAATGTGGTCATAGGTGGTGTCAGGGTCAGACACATCTGTATTATTAAAGGTGTCGAACTCCACCGCCACGAACCGGCTATTGCCGGAGGCCAGCTCGCCCGGGCTCTGGTTGGTGAGGCCGAGGTTGTAGCTGGGGCAGTTGGCCGGCATGCTAGATTGAGCGGTGAGGAAAAAGGCCATGCCCTGCCCCTTGTTGTTTATGTCGCCTACAATGGCGAACGTGAAGCGCGTGGTGAAGCTGGCCACCTCGCCGGTCGCCTTGTCCCAGAGCAACATCGGCTGGGCGCTGTACCACGCTCGACCATTGCTGCCCTCGATACCATTGTACCTGTTGGCGCTGATGTCGATCCATCCGACGCTGAAGGATGCGTCGCCTTCGATCATGATGTTGTTCCGGTCTGTTGGGCTGAAGGTGGAGTAATCAAAGGACAAGGAGACAGCAGGGGTAGCAAGGTAGGAGAAGAAGAAGATGAGGAGGAGAGCGCCAGTGGTGGCTGCCGAAAAGCCAACCATCCCGGCCGGGTGCTGGCGACGATGCACAGTCCCCAGGTTCAATCTCTTTGTGTGTGTGTGTGTGTGTGTGTCGTGTCTGTGTGCACGCTTGGTGGTGTGTAAACTATATACATAGGTACTACCTCCGTCCAGGTTTATTGGACCTAGCCAAAGCGGCGGAACCAAGACGTCGTTTGATTTATTTCATAGTAACTGCAGCGGTTCCTCAAAATACAGCGGCCGGCTCCGTTTCTCACGCCTGCTCTCTTTCCCACGCCAGCATGCACCGAGCACTGTCCAATCCCAGTCCATGCACGCATGCATGCATGCCCAATTTAATTAGCGCGGCATTAAAGTTCTTGCTTAATAGGCGTTGTTGAGCTGATTTTTAGACGAGGGGCCTTATAAATTGGAATTGTACTCCGTGGCTCAGAGGTCCAATAAACCCGGACGGAGGGAGTATATATATTAACTCTTGGTACGAGGAAACGCCAGCTACAAGCGACATACTCCCTCCTTCCATCTATATAGGGCCTAATGCATTTTTTAAGACCGCATTTGACTATTGACAAGATTAATAATACATGACATGCACAATGTGAAAATTATATCATTGAAAACTCCTTTCACACACGAATTTAACGGTGTGCTTTGTGTAAGTTGCATGTCATATATTATTACTCTAATATTTGGTCAAAATTAGCCTCGAAAAACGCATTAGGCCCTATATAGATGGAAGGAGGGAGTAGTACCTATCAGTCCAGCTGACCTTTCTTTGATTATTCTTTTGTTGGGTCTTCTAGCTAGTCTTTCTCTTTTGGCAAAGCTCTAGCCCAGTCTACCTTACAAAGCTGAAACCTTCCAAGTCAGCTAGTCAGCTGCGACTCCGTGTCGGCCGAACCGACAAATTTAACTCTCCCGTGAAAGTTCGGCCAAAGATATATGGCCCGTCTCCAAAACTCTTAACTAAATCTAACCCTTTTGCTCAATGCCACAATCTTCGGCATAGAGCTTGCTCATGTCAACACAGCACACATGTATGTTGGAAAAGATTTAGTGATTTATTTATATTGTGGCCAGATCTCAATCGACTGAGATTTAACCAAGTCTCAATCAAGTGACATGACATATAAGACAGAAACAGAAAAAACTGAAAAGAAAATATTACACGAATCTTAATGCATCACGATGTGGAACAACAGGACTCCGGAACCCGCCTATTATGATCAAGTATGAGAGAGAGGAGATCAAGATTTTTGGGGAGAGCTCTCGTGCGTCTGACATTGCGGTATACAACAAAGAGTACTTCCCCGACGACGACTCCCCCTTCCTCGACGCCATGTCAACCGTCAGCGGTGTGCTGTCTACGAACGCATCTTCATCCGCCACATCATTTGTTATTTCCCCCTTCTGTTAAGGATTACTTCCAGTTCCTTAGTATATTAGTATTCGATCTGGGCATGCCATGTTTACCATACCTATCAAATAGAATGTCAGTTTTGCTTACCAACTTCTCCTGTTCGAGCGAACAAACCCATGGTCGGATGGTTATGAGGACAGTGGTATCCCCATCCCACCACAGTTCAAGTTTTAGACTTGGCATTGGTGCTCGCGTTTTCCTGAATTTGTTTTAGGCCTTTTGACGATGTGCATTCAGTGGAAAGAGATGTTCCCGTCAAGCTCAAGATGATGTGCCGGCTCAGTCTTTCGCAGGTGCTCATAGGGGTAGGGTGTGCGTCCGTGCGTTTATAGAAGTGAGTGTATGTGTGAATGTATGAGCGTCCGCGTCTGTACTGTGTTAAAAAAACTTCTGTTTTTCGAATATCATGTCAACTATGTCGATCATCTTCTATTTGTTTTTTCTTTGATTAAACATAAATACAAACTGCTCATATGTAACATTCTATACTCCCTATGTAACTTAATGTAAGCCGTTTTATCAGTTCACCGCAAGCTACTCCCAAAATGGACATGCACTTTACAGCAATTCTGTTATGTCGATCCAACAGCAGGCTACCACTACTTCTAACTTACTCCCTCCGTTCCCAAATATAAGTCTTTTTAGAGATTCTAACAAGTGACTAAGTACAGAGCAAAATGAGCGAATCTACACTCTAAAATATGTCTACATACATCCGTATGTTGTAGTCTATTTGAAATGTCTAAAAGACTTATATTTAGGAACGGAGGGAGTATGATGCATGCATGCATGCACACACGCAAATCTTTTGGCAAAGCTCTAGCTAGTCTTTCTCTGATTATTCTTTGTTGGGTCTACTAGCTAGTCTTTCTCTTTTGGCAAAGCTCTAGCCCAGTCTACCTTAAAAAGCTGAAACCTTCCAAGTCAGCTAGTCAGCTGCGACCCCGTGTCGGCCGAGCCGACAAATCTAACTCTCTCGTGAAAGTTCGGCCAAAGATATATGGCCCGTCTCCAAAACTCGTACTAAATAGTATAACCCTTATATATGCTCAATACCAGAACCTTCGGCGTAGAGCTTGGCTTTGTCAACACAACGCACATGGATGTTGGAAAAGATTTAAGCGATTTTACGAATAAAATGCAGTTTATGGGGCTAAATGCCAGAGGTTATTGAATAGCTCAACACCAAAGGGTGTGACGTTTACACCTTAAGCTTTCTTAGCTCCGTGCCGTAGGGCCGGCGTGCGCGTCGACGAGGGGTCAAACAGTCTACCACAACTCCTTGTCATACGTAGCTGAATCCAGTCCATCAACAACCCGTTGGGGTGAAAGACGACCACCATTCGTTAGGATGTGCGCCTTGTAATGACTTACATCTTCCAAATAAAAAGTCCTTTTCATGTTAACCTCGCCCCCCGGCATTGCAGCTGATGTGACTAATGGCTGGTTGTGGGCGAAGATTCTCTCCACAGGGTTCCAATCCAAGCACACAAACAAACACATGTATTTAATGAAAGAAAAACCGTCCATTTTAGAGTAGACTGATTTTAAGTTTGATATAAATCAAAATTTTGCATCTTCAGGCATACAAGCAGCGAGACATGCATGTCACTATCAAAGCTGTCTGATTTCTTATATTTTTTATAATTCGATATCAATCATTCTTTTTTTCTTTTGCACTACACAAACAATGGCATATGGCACTATCGACTAAGAACTCATTTTCCATGATTACAAAACCTCAATTAAAGTCTTGCTTGCTATGATTTACATGTTTCAAAGCTTGTAAAAACAAGTGTAATGGACTGTTGTTCTAGATAAAGATTTCGCATAAAAAAGGAGCACAACAAAAAACCCAGTCTACCTTATTATTATCACCTACCACCATAAACTGTTCAGAGAACAAGTGATTTTATGTTTATCATGGTCATCTTCCATGAAGGTTAGTAATCAGATCAACTCCAATGTGAAATTTGTACATATCATGGTCATCTAGTATGTATGTACTAAGTTATCGAAGATCTTGATATTACAGTGATGCCTCTAACTTGAGCTTCATCTCCAGGCTTTTCATGCACAGAACACTCGAAGTGAAAAGTTGAGGCTCAGTTTATGTGCAAAAAAGACATCAAGGCAGGAGTTGAGATCTTCAGAAGTGGGGCAATGTTGGGAATGCTGTCTGATTTCTTGGCTACATCTTTGTTCCCAGTGTTTTCACTTTAGCAAGCAAGTAAATAAACCACCGTGGAGATAACTGGGTTTGGGTAATGTTGGTCTGTGCCACTAGAATTTTATATCTACTAAATGGCTCTTGATTGTAGTATGGCTTCGATTTCCTGATCATAACACACGAACTCTGCCTATGTTTCTATAAGCACGGCCGGTCCCAAATCTAGAAAAGGAAGAAGGGTTGTGATAGGCTTAGTGAGCCAACATAAAAAACCAGCCATTCTTATGAATATGAAACACTCGAACATACTGATAACCATTCCAGCTGCCAGTCCCATCCTGGCATCATTAGTCATTACATCAACACTCCGGGAACATATCAAACGCACGCCATAAATTACTACTACTACTGATGTTTGAGTAGTGAAGAAGAGGTCTTCGGACTGTTCGTCGAAGTGCTAGCTTCAGAGGTTGTGGTACAAGAGGTGTGCATCGGCATGCTGGACGACGTCGTCGACGACGACATCCCAACGGTGTGGGAGGACGATGATGACATCCCAACGATATTGGCCCAGGAGAGCGGCCTCAACGGCTCATACATCGGGACTGGCATCTTGGAAGGAAGCACCGGCAGCTGGTAGGCTTGGTCGACCTTGGGCTGGAGCGTGGCCAGGGCTGTCCTGATGGATGGTCGTGCGCTCGGGTTTGGGTGCGCGCACCACAACCCGACAACCATCACACTCTCCACCTCCGCAGCGTTGTAGTCACCGTTCAGCCGCTCGTCGGTGGCCTCAAGGATGGATCCCCGGCCATATAGTCCCCAGACCCACTCGACCAGCCGGAAGACGCCGCCATTCTTCTGCTTGTCCTGGTTGGCCGGGCTCATTGGCCTCCTGCCACATGCCACCTCCAGTAGAACCACGCCGAAGCTGTACACGTCGGACTCGGCGCTTGCCTTGCCGGTGTTCACGCAATCGGGGTCCAAGTAGCCTGGAGTTCCCGAGATTGCGGTCATGGTCTGCATCCCAGCGGCGTGGTCAACGAGCCTTGCGAGTCCGAAGTCGCCTAGCTTGGCTCCAAAGGACTCGTCAAGCATGACGTTGCTGGGCTTGATGTCCCGGTGAAGCACACATTGCTCCCACTCCTCATGGAGGTAGAGCAGTGCAGACCCAAGCTCCAGCAATATCCTCATCCTGCAGTTGCACTTGCAACCATCAACATACATACAATACATATGTGTAGACCAGCAGGAGCATATACAACTTATAATGAAGATCCATGGTACGTACCTCATTTCCCATGTGAGGAAGGTGCCCTGCTTGCCATGGAGATGGATGTCGAGGCTGCGGTTGGGCATGAGCTCATAGACCAGCAGGAGCTCCTGATCATGGCCATGGCACCAGCCGATGAGCTGCACGAGGTTCCGGTGACGCAGCCTGCTTATCACCTTGACCTCGGATTTGTATTCCTTCTTTCCTTGTATGGAAGACTGCAACCTTTTTATGGCCACGGCAAGCCCAGCGGGTTCTCTCAAATAGCCTTGGTATACGGCGCCGAAGCCGCCTTGCCCCAGCTTCTCCTCCGCGGCGAAGTTCCTCGTCGCTTCCACGAGCTCGTGGTACGGGAACCGCCTTGGCGCCGTCCCCATCTCGATCTCCGTCATGGGCTCGCTTTCGCCTTGTGAGTCTGTGTAGTACTCCTCCGTCTCCATGACTTCCTGACGACGATGACGGCGGCGCACTACGAGAGCCACTGCAGCTGCGAAGAGGAGGACGAAAAACATTGTCGCGCCGGCAGCTGCTCCGGCTATAACTCCAGAACCTGGCCCTGGTGGGGAGCGCGGTGTTGGTAGTGGTGCTGGCTGTGGTTCCAACGAAGAGTTGAAGTACCAAGAGTATAGATATATACTCATCTCCGGTAACGTGGTCGTGGAGAAGCCAATGGAGACCTGCTCCGGCAGTACGCTCTTGAGGTCAACCTTGGAGTTAAGGTTGTAACTCCATTGGTCTTGGCCGTAACCGCCCCATAATGTCACCGCTAAGATGCTGGAAACATTGTCGTACTCGATCTCGGCAGTCTGGGTGTCGTTGAGGATGAAGCTCGGCATGGTCTGTGTGCTCACCGATCTGAGGGAGTTGACATTGAGGCCGATGTGGTCGTAGCTGGTGTCGGGGTCAGATACTATTGTATTGTTGAAGTTGCCGAACTCCACCGACACGAACCGGCTATCGCCGGACGCCACGGCGTCTGCGCTTTGGTTAGTGAGGCCGAGGCTGTATGGGGGGCAGCCGACAGGCAGGCTAGATGGATAGCCGGCGAGGAAAAAGGCCATGCCCCCCTTGCTGCTGTCGTCACCGGTGATCTGGAACTGGAACTGCGTGGTGAAGCTGGCCACCTTGCCGGTCATCTTGTCCCAGAGCTGCAGCGCTGTGGCGTTGTACGACGCCCGGCTGGCAACACCGTACGTATTCGCGTTCATGGGGATATTTCCAAAGAATGCGTTGCCGTTGAAGGATGCGTCGCCTTCGAACTTCATGTCCTTTAGGTCTTCTGTGGTGAACGTGGAGTAGTTGAAGGACAAGGAGACGGCAGGAGTTGGAAGGTGGAAGAAGAAGATGACGAGGTGGAGGAGGAGAACACAGGTGGTGGCGTTCGAAAAGCCGGCCATCCTGGGCGCTGGCTCGATCGGTGCCTCGGTGTGTTGTTCGTGTGCAAACTTTATTATTTATACATAAAAAGAGATTATCTACGAGACCACGCCAGGAACAAGCGACCTAGTACTAGTCACTCTAGCTGGCTGGCCTTTCTTTGATTATTATTCTTGGAGTCTTCTAGCTAGTCTTTCTTTTTTGGCAAAGTTCTAGCCCAGTCTAGAAAGTTGAAACCTTCCAAGTCAACAAGTCAACTACAACTCAGTGTCGGCCTGAACCAGACAAATGTAACTCTCGTGTGTAACTCCAGTGTCCCTAAAACAATGCATAAAGAAATTATTACGACAAAACGCGAGGAACAAGTCCTGGTCAGTGTAGCTGGCCCTTGATTGGCACCTGATAAGTGTCATACGTGTGGCACAAACACATGGCAACTTCAAACATTTTTATGGTAAGTTTAGTGATGGCAACTTTAGTTGTCATGCATGATAACTTTTTTTTTATGCCAAATTTAGTTATAAAAAACGTCAAGACTGGATTGCTTCGTGTCACACCTTTGGCACTTATTATTTGGGCTGTTTGCTAGTCTTTCCTTTTGCTCGAAAAAAAGCTAGTCTTTCCTTTTTGGCAAAGCTCTAGCTTAGTCAATAAAGCTGAAACCTTCCAAGTCAAATAGTCAACTGCAACTCCTTATCGGCCGAATAGACAAATCTAACTCTTGTGTGAAAATTTAGCCAAAAATAATGGGCAGCGATCTGCGCCGGTGCACCGGCCCAACGGTTGGGCCGGTCAAGCCCGAGCCGTCAAATCTGGCCCCCCTGAGCCGTCAGATCCCTTCGTTCCCCACCTCCCATCTTCAACCTCTCGCATGGAAAAAGGGGGAGGCCTGCCTCGCACATGGGCCGACACCTCCACACACGCCAACCGGCTCGCCTCACCTCCTCACCGCCGGCCGCCCTCACCGCCGGTCGCCGCCCACACCTATGTCGCCTTTGTGCGTTTCTCACCTCCGTTGATGCAGCAGTGTGCGCCCATGGTTGCAGCCTTGTAGCTCCGGTGCCATCGCTCCCAATTCCAGTGCACGACGGCCACGCTCCGGTGGCGACGGTTCGCCGGAAAACAGCGCCCCGATGGTTGCAGCTTCTCTGATTGTGCAGAGTCTAGCTTTCTCTCTCAAAGGTTGAAGCTTTTTTCCTCTACGGTAGAAGCTTTTCTATAAACGGCTGAAACTTTTTTCGCACATACAATTCAAAGCTTTCTGTGTCGAATGGTTGCAACTTCTCTGATTGTGCAGAGTCTAGCTTTCTCTCTCAAAGGTTGAAGCTTTTTTCCTCTACGGTTGAAGCTTTTATGTAAACGATTGAAACTTTTTTTGCACATACGATTTCAAAGCTTTCTCTATCGAACGGTTGCAACTTCACTGATTGTGCATAGTCTGGTTGTAGCTTTCTCTCTCAAAGGTTGAAGCTTTTTTCCTCTACGATAGAAGCTTTTCTGTAAACGATTGAAACTTTTTTCGTTTTGAGCAGCGCCTGGGTGAAAGCTTCCTTTATCGTTCGGTTGAAGCTTTTTTCGTCAAAGGTTGTAGCATTTCCTGTAGACGGTTGTAGCTTTCCTCGATAGCAATGAAGGTTTGCAGCTTTCTGTGTATACGGTTGAAGCTTTTCATATAGAGGTTGAAGCTTTTTTTTAGCGGTTGCAGCACACGGGGTCTGCGGCAGGTTCTACAATGCCTCGCCTGCAGGTTCGCCGGGATACAACACCCCTGACAACGGCGGCCATAGGTGCCAGGACCGCAACATCGCCGTGCACTCCCCAAAAACAGCACTCACTCGTACCAAGGCGCCACCATGCTCGCTACGCAGCTACTAGGACCACCGGCGGGCTGCGAGCAGATGTGTGACAGCGACGGCCGTGTGGCTGCGCGGCAGGGGATGGAGCAACCGCTCATGGCCGTGGCCGAGGCCTGCGAGGAGCTGGCGCGTGGGATGGAGGCCGACTGCGGCGAGCTCCGCTTCGTGCCCTTCGGTGACACCTGTGCGAGCTGCGTGAGGAGGTTGTGGAGGAGCAGAGCCACGGCGGCTGGAAGTGGAAGAAAGGGCACTAGTAGAAAAAGGGTCAAATGTGAAGCACAATAGTGCCGGTTGGAATTTCAGCCGGCACTAATGTGTACACTAGTGCCAGTTCGTGGCGGCGATCAATAGCACCGGTTCATGGCGAACCTTTAGTACCGGTTCATGCCACGAACCGGTACTAAAGAGGCAGTATCAGCCCGCGGTCAGGCTATGGCCCCACCATCACCATTTAGTGCCGGTTCGTACCACGAACCGGTACTAATGAGGTTATGGCAAGCTGTTTTTTAGTCCCACCTCGCGAAGTGAGAGGGACTAGGAGCGGTTTATAAGCCCTGAGTGCAGAGACGATGAAGAAGAGGCTCAATGCTCACGTTGCTTAGCTTCAAACCTTCAGGAATACGGTAGACTGCATGGAGCTATGCGCAGTGCAGTTTACACTATTCCGAAAGGCTTGAAGCAAATTAACGAGCATTGCACCTCTTTTTTATTTTTAATAACTTATTACAACTCCGGACTTCTTCTGTTATGGCAAAAACTAGTTGCACGTCGACATTTCTTTTTTTTTAAGTTATAACTCCAGACTTTGACCATCAAGTTTTGCAGAAAAGAAAAAATAGCAGAAAAGAAGAAAAACTATAGCAGAAAAGAAAAAAACAAAATAAAAAAACTACTCAGAAATAAATAGAAGAAAATAAATATAGCAGAAAAGAAAAAACTACTCAGAAATAAATAGCAGAAAAAATAAAGCAGAAAAGAAAAAAAAATATTTGCTATTTTTCAATCGTTTAAAAAATGACCATGAAATTGAAAATCACTACAAAATGAACTCTGAAAATGTTGAATTTTGGCAAACTAGATGAAAAACTACTCACAAATAAATAGAAGAAATAAATATAACAGAAAAGAAAAAACTATACAAAAAACTACGCAGAAATAAGAAAAAGAAGAAGAAGAAGAAGAAGAACAAGAAGGAGGAGGAGA